CGTATGTGCATTAACCGAGTATCTAACTATACACAACATCATTCAACTATACATAACATTTTTTTTTTATATTTTTTTATACGTCCTAACCGGTTCAAGTTCTCAATTTATATAATTTTTTTTACATTAGTTGCTATTATTTTTCTACCAATTATTAAACTTAACAATAATTTTTATAATATATTACTCAAGAAACCGAATTAACCGAACCACTATAACACAGTTTCCTTTCGATTCGTACAAAATTCAACTTGTCAATCGAATGGGTTATATTGTTCCAACTTCCAAGTCTGGACTTCTAATTAACTATGATAAGAAACTAGACTGGTCATTGGCCTGGACGCAACTCTCTTTACAAAGATATAGTATTAAGTTTACAAAATTTCTATGGAGCCATCGGATGATTTTTATGAAATCATCCACCACTTAATGTATTGACACATGTTCAAATTATATTTATTGTAGAACACGTGTCAATACACTATTAATGAATAAATGTGAATGGCTTCATAAGTCGAGCCATCCGATTACTCCATAGCAAAACTGGTTCAATCTATCACTTCCTTCAAAGCTCCAATAATATCAATTTATAATCTCCAATTAATCTACTCTTGAATTATCAGTCGATAATTAGTGCATTTAATGAATAATTCGCATTAGCAATTTATTTTAAATTATTAAAAAATCTCTTAAATTATTATATTGAGAATAGGAAAAATGAATGAAAAGGGATTTAATTTAACTTGGGGGTATTTGGTGGATACCCTACAACATCTAGATTGTTCATGAGTCATGATCGGGCCCAGCCCATTATGCGCTTTTACTAATTAATCGCGCAAGTGGAGGCACAATCCCCATTAAGTAAACCAATTTCATTTCTTCACGGAAATTATGCCCCTTCAGGGCCCACATCCGCTCATGTCCAGACTGGCTCCAACTTCACTTTACTATTTTTTTTTTTAATAAGAAAAATCATTTTCTCTCCTTTATTATTCTTATTTCTTTTAATCTTTTCCGTTTTTATTTTTTATTTATCAAATTTCTCAATTTTAAATTTGTTTGTTGTCGTCCAATAGTAATATTTTTCACATATTCAATTTCAATTTCCAAATAATTTATTTATTATTGGGTCTTTCTCCTATTGTATAAATATTTTTATTTTTTTCCCTAAAGTCCAAAGTCCACTTTTGACTTGCAATTTGCACCCCTTGAAAAGCTGCAACACAATCTTAATAACAAGAGGTTAAAATCGTCATAAATTAAATTAAAACGACAAAGAAGTAAAGCAAAAATAAACTGAATTTGGACGGAAATTACCTCACACAAACCAATGGACAGAGATGGCGAACGGCGAACGGCGACGGCGAACGGGAAATGCCAGACAAATAGCGACGGCGAACGGGAAATACCAACACGCAATGGACGGATAATTGATCTGAACGGAACGGAACGGAACAGAACACGTTACCGGATAGATACCAACGATAAAAAAAGAAGGGATTAACTAACCAACACACCAAGCCAAAAACCCATTCCTTTTTTTTTTCAAGTTTGTTTTTGATTAATTAACAGTTTAGTGGAACTCATTCAATTGTATGGGGTTTTTTTTTCAATTTTATAATGTCCTTGCAAATTCCAAATCACTATGTACAACCAAGGGAGAGAGACATCAACCACTGTGTTTTCCAAAATTTCTCCGGTTTTATCGCTCGCCGGTGTACTAAAACATTCGCCGGACATCTGAACTCATAGTCTTCGGGTAGATCTGATCTTCCACATTGAAGAATAGAAATCTGTGACAATATCAAATAACCAAACCTGCAAACTCAGATTAAAGGTCCTCGGCTTTGGACATGACCGAGAGACGGCTCTGACGGGGCCGGAAGTCCGCCCGACGGCGCTGCTGGTGCGAGGAGGGGCGGATAAGGGCCGCCAGAGCACGCTTCACCAGATCCCCCTCGACGGTGCCGATCCGCACAAGAGAGTTCGTCATCGCCGACCTCCTCATGTTGAGCCGGTGCGGAGAGTACGGAGCGGAGCCGTTCCGGCCGCCGACTACGCCTCCGAAGCTGTTCTTATGCAGAGCGCAGCGGAAGGACCCCGGATGCGTCGTCGGGGAGCACAGGCACGTCCTCCTCTGTACGCCGCCGCTTCTCTGCACGACCTGGTTGCGCGGCGGCGGCGGCGACGCCGCGATTGAGCGCCGCGGCGAGATGGATCTGTCGATGGGGAATCGGACGGACGGCGTTGGAGGCGGCGTTGGGGACAGCGCGTGGACGTCGACCTTCGTTGGGGACACCGAACGGCGGTGGGTGAAGAAACCGCCGGAGGGGGAGGACGAGTAGTAGGTGGACGAGGAAGCGAACGAGGAAGACGACGCGGACGTGAAAGGCGACGGATCCGACGTCACCGACGTACATAAAGGACCGGAACGCCGGAAGCCCAACGAGGCCGGTATTACCCCACCCTTCGACCTTCTAGAAGATGCGGCCATGGCTGCACTTTTCTTCTTTTGTTTTTTGTAATTAAAATATCTTGGGAAGAAGGAAGAAAGAGAGAGAAAATGGAGATTATTTTATATGTATTTTCTTAGAGGGCCCTGAGGCTCTTCATTTCGGCAAACCTAGCTGGTGTGGAAAGCTTGATTTATAGCAGGTGAGGAGAATGGCACACATCGTAAATTAGGGCTGCTTTTAGGGGTATAGTGGGAAAAGGAGGGTGAGATTGGGGGATAGGTTTGGTTTGGTACTCGAGGTGGGGCCCAGGGCATATGGATTGGCTGTTGGGGGAATCTGATCCAACGGCCGAGATGATGTGAAAGGGGTAAACGACGAAAGGAGGAGCCGTTTTGTGGATTGGCTGCCACGCAATACGATGTTAAGAGATGGTGGTGGTGATGATATAGGTTTCTTGAAATTCGAGGACAATAGCTACTGTTGACCAATTAAAAAGATTAATTGAACTTATAGTAGTGGTAAATGCTACGAACCCGTTATGATTTCATTCTGTCGGTGTTTTGATCATTAAATTATTTATTTTTCATAATTACATGTGAATTTAACAGTTAAAATATCCGACGAAATGGTACCGAAACATTTCTTATTAGTATAATTTAATTGATTTGGTTGGATTGGAAAGATTTCAATGTTTTGGGTGAAGAGCTCTCTATGGACATTGGTGGCCCTTTGATGCTATATATTCAACGCCAAAATATGTAATCAAATTGCCTTTATATAATAAATTCCAAATTTATTTTATGTTTCTTCTCATATTAAGTTATCTCTCTATTTTATGTAATCAACTGGCGCAATACTGTATATATCTCTATTATAGCGTGATAGTTCAGCGTTTCACTTTGGCGTAAAATAGGTAATGTAGCGCAGGGTTGGAGATGGTCTTACGTGTTTATTTTTGGTGCATCATATAATTCTTTTTTGAGGGGATAGTTGTTATTAGGATTTTTAAAATCATAAAAATATGTTTATCTTAAATTATAAAATATATTTTATAAATCTAATAATTTAACAAGTATTGTTTATCTCGTTGGCATGGAGCGGCTTAATACGCAGCTGCGAAAAATTAATAAGTTTGAAAATTATTTTTGTTTGGCTACCAAAATGAAAGAATTAAAACACAAATGAAAATAAAAACGTGGAGTGGAGAATAATCCAACTAGTACTCAAAATCACAATTTAATTATATCGCTCCTAGATAATGGCGAAAAAACTTTAATAGCATGTCCCAACGAGACAAATTATAATCTATATTTTTCTTCGACAAACCTCAACTAATTAGTACTAGCGACAAACAAGGATCAATCCAGCGAGAATCGGGAATTAAATCGTGATTTTCCTCTCATAACTTGAAATTTAAAAAGCAATAAAAAATGAAAATTATGATGTAGCAACTAAACTAATTAAAATCATAATTAACGTCCAGACAAATAAAACAAAAGCAAAAACAAAACAAATAAAGTTAGAGAAATTTTCTAGTCCACGGTCGGTCGAAACCCTCGCTCGACTAGTCTAATCAAGACGTAAAGTTTCGTTATCTTCTCCAATTAATAGTACTAGGTAACAACACACTCTGCTAACCAAATTTTTCCTCATAGTATATTTAGCAGAAACACGCTTCTCGGTTATACCTAACTACTGGATTGTCTAAACAACGCTCTCTAGACTTCTACTGTACAATATAAAAAACGCTCTATGGATTTAATGCAGCGACAACTTTAGGATCTAGGAAAATATGCTAGTTTAAGTAGTAGACTTATACGCTTGGCATACTTAAATTAGGTTGTGTTGTTCTCAATATATTTCACTTATCGACTTATGTTTGCTACAAAAGAATCAAACTCAACAATAATTACAGACTGCAAGATCAATTGTAGCATTAGATATGAAAAATCTTATTTAGGTAATCAATCTATAGAAAATTAAACATCTCATGATTGATAAAATAAAATAACTATCAATTTCGTAAAAAAAAAAAAAAAAACAAAAAAACAAAACCGATAAATAAATCAATTAAGTATATGCATAGACATCCTCGAACACTAGAAATATAAACTAGCCTAACATAATGAAAAAAAAAAAGAGAGAATAATATAATCATCCCACTTCGTGTACAGGTTGCGGCCTCTCTCAGTGTCCACTGATTTTCTCTCTGTGACTCTATTTGTGTCTTCCGTATGTGCTCTTTGTCCTCTCCTCTATGTTAGGACTCTTCCGTTGTGTCCCTTTACCGTCTGCCGATCTCTTCCTCGTCTGATCTTGTGCAAGTTGCGTGTCATCTGATCTAGTGCAATTGATCTTGTACACGTTTGTATTTACCTTAACAAGCAGTTGAAATCTCACCAGAAAATTCGTTTTTACTTTTATTAGAAACTTTTAAAAAATATTGAAAAGGGGGGTCGTCTTTTAAATTTGAATAAAAAAAGTGAAAATTAATTTTGTAGAGAATCTAATTGTCAACAATTGCGGCTCCATCGCATTTGTCCGAAATTTTGTTAAGATAATTTGTCCGATTGTGAGGCAGTAACAAATGAAAATAACTAAATATATTTTATTACTGTACATATCTGGTCACATATTTGGTTTAATATTGTTTCCATAATTTTGGCCAGTTCATTTTTTTCTTATTTGTAATTTGATTTGATTCATGCATACCTGGTCAAATAAATTAATATAAATCTTTCAAGATTTTCAAAGTAACCTGAATCAATTATAATTCCCCAATCACGTGTGTTTCATAGCACTAGTGTGTGGCCCGTGCGATGCACGAAAAAAATAATATTACGATTGTATTATAAATTAAATATACAAATAAATTAATCAAGATTTATCCATCGTTTTTAAATTAAACCGTGTTGGACACAGTCCGACAGGATGGACCGAGAACAAGTTTATAATCAGTCTAGTTCACTTGAATAAAATATTTGCTATTGAATCAACACCAGTCGGTTGAACTGGTTGGATCCATACGATTTTCTAAATAAATTTGGTTATATTTAAAATTATTTTAAATAAAATTTGATATTTAAATAAAATACAGATTTATAAATTGTTTATCAATTAATTTAAACATTTAAAATTTTAAATTGTTTAGATATTCAAGTAACACATTTTATTCAAATTTATTAAAAAAACTATTATATATATATATATATATATATATATATATATATTAAAACGTTTTTTAAAGAAAAAAAATAAATTGCATGATTTTTATAAATTAAACTGTATGATTATATTAAAGCGTATTTATAAATTAAATTGTATGTTTTTAAAGGAAAAATAAGAAAAATAATAAAACTACTATTTATGAGTAACATTAAATGTTGACCTATTTTTTTGCTACTAATTTTAGTAAATATGATGGCTCTTTATATAAGTATAGATGTGTCGAGATTTTGGTCAGATCTTTTAGTCCAATATTGATATCGTTACTAATGAAAGTAAATAAATAAATTAAATTTTTGTACATAATCTAGTCGAATAAAAAATTTTTGCCATGATCCTCAAATTTTCTTCGCAATTGTAGACGAGCAAATCTGCAATATTTAATCACAATTATATCATAAAGATTTAAAAGTTATATTATACCAAACATTTAAAGAAAACATAGTTTATTTTTTCAAATTTTTTTCGTCCGTGTATACTTTAATTTTTGGTAACAATAACCGTCAATTCATTACATTCATCTCCATTCATATATTCGTCTCATGTGTACACACTTTTACCGTAGGATTGCCGTTCATCCAGGCGCTCAACGATAAGAGCTCAACTGAATGCTACGTCGGCTCGCCGTTCATTAGGCGCTCAACGACTGAAGCTCAATCGCGTGCCTTTCATTAGGCACATGGAGATCGCCTTTCATTAGGCAAGTGGCCACATACATACATTAATCATAATAATCATGCGATTAAAAAGAGTAAGGCATAGTAAATTAGGCACACCCACTTTAGCTGTCGGCAAAATTGAATAAATGCACGTGAAATTGTGCGAGGGCTCGATTCGTCTTAAGCTCTCTTTGGGTATAGAATAGGGCATAAAGATGGCTCGGTTGATGGTGGTGCGAGGGCTCAGCCGACTTGGAAATTTGGATATTTCCTGCGGTTTCCTCTCGTCTCAATTCTCATCATTATCTGATCAACCTAAAACCTGAAACCACCACAACCAGAAAAACACAAAAAACAAGAAAAATAGGAAGAAAAATAACGAAAATGCCGAACACACCAACAAATCAATAAAAATACGAGAAACGACAAGAAAAACCGAAAACCCTAAGAAAAAGAAACTACCTAAAATGGGAGAAAAGGTAAACAAAACACCAACAAAATAACAACAAAAATGGGACCAACATTGTGGAAAACATAACACCAAAAATTGTCGTGTTCCAGTTTAAAATATATTTTATTTTCAGATTTATTTATACATAATTGTTTTGAAAAAATATAACACATAAATTGTTCCAAAAAAGTGGACAATATTTTAGACTACATTTGAAAATTAAAGTGCACTATAAGAAAAGCAGGACAAGATTTAAGCATACAATTTTGAAAACTACCTTTCAAGCAAAAGGATAAAAGTTAATTTTAAATTTTATTCCAAAATTATCCTTAACAATAAGTCAAACTATTTAATCAAAAAGTCAACTTTCCATTTTTGAATTATCCATCAACTTCTTTCAATCCTCCCTATATATTATTCCCGAATGCGCTGAGCCTACGTGGTTGTTTCTGGTGCTTCGGAATCCTACTTGGCAAATAATCATGCTTCGTAATTAGGTTTGGACAAATAATATTGATATATTAATAATTAATAATATAGGTTTTGACATTCCATAAATATTATTTAGCTAACTTAGGTATTTTAATATAAATTTTACTAATATAACCCTAATTCTTTGTAATTTACATAGTGAGACACTTAGTGACTAATATATCCATGACTTTTGATTTGTTTCCTTCAATTAGCTATTGAATTATAAATG